CCGAGCAATCGCTCGCCGAATCCCGAGTAGTGTGGACGGGTTGCTTGCGATTCGCCGAGCGCTGAACATTTGGTATTCGCCCTATCCACCGCGGGTCGGTTTTTAGAACACAAACATTCGCCGAACACATCGGCTGTTCGTGATAGGGCGAGCACAAGCCGAATGTATGGAGCCGTCTTTACGCGTAGTGCAGTGAGAGTGAGTGGTATGAATGAATTGTTATGTATACAATGAAACAAGTATGAATGATGCGTGAATGAAAAAAATATACCAAGGAAGAAAGAGAACAACATTATTTATTATTAAGTGGAAAATAATTTGTTCAAGTTAAGTATCCTAAAGAGCTTACATATTAACTGTAAAATTGTATTAAACTAAAATTAAATTAGTTTTAGTTAGTCATAAAGAAAAGCCCCTCACCTTCTTAGCTGCCTAATCCGTAAGGCAGAAGCACAAATTTAACCAAAATGTCAAAAAAAGTCTCTGCCTCCACAGGGGTACTGTAGGGGGTAAGACATAAAAACTAAAAATTTAAAATATCGGTCCAGTACATTATATATTTAACCATGGCATCCTTGGCTTTACATCGTTGCTTCAACCATTGTCCTAGGTATGGGGATTAGTTCTTTAATCTCACACGTTTACGTGTCAGGGCCAGAGATTTTATAAGTTAGTGGAATATACTCAATACACGAGAGTTCCAGAATGCCCCCATCCCCTCTCTCAAAGCAACTTACGCTCGATATCCTCTCGACGCCGAATCATTTAACCGTTCTGTTTGTTATGTTTATGTAACATAATAATTTAATGAAACTAATAAGTAACTAAAACCTGGGCTATTTATGCTTCGCACGTACTTTGCGGGAGTTAACACAGTTTTTTTTCTTCCTGTGGCTTTTTCCAGCTTCAGGGATGTTGAATTCGGTAATCTGCGCCAGATACCCACCACGTCTCACGTACCAACCATTCTGACTGATGACGCGGCCCCTTGAAAGGGAAACGTATATTTTCATTTTGAGGGATACTTCATATGAAGCCACAAAAACACTTTCAAAAGGTTTTGGTAAGTCAAAAGAGGCTTAAATAAATTGCATACGAGACATATGTGTTTAACTGACTGAATTTTCCAAAATTGCAAGAGTTTAAAATAGTTATTGGCGTCTTCCTATTATTTTTCTTCCTGTATTTTTTCAGCTTCAGGGATGCCGATTTCGGTAACCCGCGCTGGGGGCCCACTACCTCCCTCATGGAGGACCTTTAACCTTTTCACTAGAGGCACATGCGGGCTCTGACTCAGAATGCCTTCCGTGACAACGTACATGAAAGACAAGGAAACACAATTTTGTTTGAAGCTATGTGTTAACTGTTTAATTAATTTTGAATGAAAAGGTTAATATCTACAATTACAAAAACGATATTATTGACAGTAAAGAGGAAGCCTCAAAAATTTTAGCTTGAGAACTTCTTCTTCTCTTTGTACTGCCATACACTTATTAGAGCGTAAGCTAGTTTCCAGAAGCCCTTAACGCCTTCTTGTGAGACTTATCCTGAGCATGTATACCTAGGATAGTATGCCCTTGCTTTCCCTAGTGGCGCTAGTGCGCCCATGAAATATCAGATAGCGCAGGCCAAGATACAATATTCGCAATCCTATTCTGTACTTCCAATCTAAAAATATGCGAGAAAATAAGAGTACATGAGAGGAGGAATAGGGTGAAAATGCAAGGCGATGAGAAGTATAGGAAGAGGGAAGGAGCAAAATAAGGAAATGATAGACGGTGAAGGAAATGGCGAGGCTTAATGAGTAAAATAACGCAAAAGAGTGTCAGCGAGGAGAGAGACAAAGTAGGAAATACGAAAGAGAGACACGGCTGAAAGAGGTGAGACTAAAGTAAAGTATAGGAAGAAGGAAACGTTGTCAGGGGCGAGACGAAATCGGGGATACGAAGAGACCGACAGGGTGGGAAGGAGCGGAAAAAAGCGATGTTTAGGTAGGGAGAGACATGGCAGGAATCAAGACAAAGTGGTATGTAGGAGTGGTGAAGAAGCGAGAGTATAGGACAGGGTTAATAGTAAACAAGAAGCGAAATGGGAAATATAATGAGGGACAACCCGGAAAACAGTGAGACGAGGGGAATAGGAGGAAAGAGACTGGGCGGAAAGAAGCGAAACAAAGTGAAGTATAAGAATGGACAGACTGTGCCAGAAAGGATGAGAGTAACTGGAGATAAGGAGGGAAAACAGGGCGTAGAGCGAAACGTAGTGGAGAATAGGAAGGAAGAGACGAAAAAAGACAAGATGAATTTGGGAATAGAGATGAAAAGAAAGGGCTCGAAGGGGCATGACGTTATGAAGAATAAGAGGGGAGAGACAGGGAGGGAAAGGGAGAGACGGTGTGGAGTAGAAATAGGGATAGACCTTGCGGTAAGAAAAAGGGCAAGAAAAAAGGAGGATAGGAGGCACAGAGGTGCGAGGTGAAATGGAGAATAGGATAGAAGAGACGGTGCTAGAAAAAAGCGAAATGATATGGAGTGTAGGAAGAAGTGACGGTGCAGAAAGCGTTGAGACAAAGTGGAGTATGAGAAGAAAAACTGGGAGTATAGGAAAGGCACTGGCAAAGCGAAATGATAAATCGGGAGACATGTCGTGAAGGGGCGAGATGAAGTAAGGAATAAACGAGATAAAGAAGTGGGGTATATGAAAGGAAAACCACGCGGGACGGGGCAAGACAAAATGCGGAGGGAGCAGAAAATAGAAGGTAAGAGACTGGGAGGGAAGGGGCAAGATATTTTGGAAAATAGAAGACGAGGAAATGCGGATATTGCGGAGAAAAAGTGGGAAATGGAAATGGAGGATTGGGACGAAACGACGTGGATAATAAAAAGGGTGAAGGTGGGTGCAGGAGGAGACGAAAAGAGAATGGGACAAGAGAAGGCGTAGGGATGAGATAAATAAAGAGAGAAATTGAACGAGAGAAAGTGGGCGCATGTACTAGACGAAGGGGTAAACGGAAGGGCAGAATGAGCGTGATCGAACGAGACGAGGTGTGAAATGAAGAAGAAATGTTGCGTGGATGGCGAGATGAAGGGAGAGGGAAATAGTAGCAGAGATTAAGAATTGCAGAAATTGGGATGGCAAGAAGTGGGAAATGAGAGGGTAGACTGCGATTGGATGAGTGAAACGAAGTGAGAAAAGGGAGAAGGGGCGGTGAATGGTGAGAAATGGGCAATTGGAGTCGAGAAGGGATTGGGATGGAGGAGAAGTGGGAAATGAGAGGACAGACGGTGCATGGTGAGACAAAATGGGAAATAGGAGGAGCGATAAGGTGGGGGGAGGGGCGGGGAGTGGTTGAGGCGAAATGGACGGG